CCGCGCTCCCCCGGCCCGGCACTCACCGCGCTTGTCCAGCTCGTAGCCCACCAGCACGAAGTAATCCGCCAGCCGGGCCATGGCGAGGCCTGGCCGAGCCGGGAGCAGCGAGACGCGGGCGCTGGGGCGGGGCCCGGCGGCTCATACCCCGGCCAGAGCGGCCGCCCCCACGTCAGACTCAACCCGGCGGCGCCGAGCCCCAGCCGCCGCCATCTTCCCTCAGCCAGACCCAGCCCGGGCAGGGCGCCGGGCGCATGCGCGGGGAAGGCCCCGGGGCGGGGTTTCGGGTGGACAACATGGCCATTGGCCGCCACGCGGCGGGGGGTGGGGCCCGGCGGGGACGGGAGCCATGCGGGCCGCAGGCTGGAGGGAGGGGGGACTATTGCCCCAACCACAGAGACCTCCTCCCCTGGCCGGGCCGGGCTGTGCCGCGGGGCGGGGTCTTACCCCACAGAGACACCCCCCCCTGGCCGGGCCGGGCTGTGCCGCGCCGCGGGGTCTTACCCCACAGAGACCCCCCCCTGGCCGGGCCGGGCTGTGCCGCGGGGCGGGGTCTTACCCCACAGAGACACCCCGGGCCGGGCTGTGCCGCGGGGCGGGGGCGGGCTCTTACCTCATAGACCCCCGGCCGGCTGTGCCGCGGGGTCGGGGTCTTACCTCATAGACCCCCCCCCCGCCCCCTGCGAGGCTGTGCCACAGGGAGGGGGAGTTACCCCCCCACACACAAACACACCTGGCCAGGCTGTGCCACAGGGTGGGGGTATTACCCCATAGGCCATCCCCTAGCCAGGCTATGCCACAGCATGGTGGTGTTACCCCATAGATCCCCCTGGCCAGGCTGTGCCCCTGGGAGGAAGTATTACTCCATATCCCTGCCCAGGTAGAGCCCCACTCCTACAGCCAAGCAGAGGAGGGACATGTTGTCACCATAGATCCCCCGAGCTAGACAAGCAGTGCCACAGGGAGGGGGATATTACTCCATACATCCCCCCTCTCTCCCCTAGCCAGGCTGTGCTCTGGGGAAGAGATTTTACCCCATCCCCATTTTCCCCACTCCCCAGGTAGGACTGCAGTAGAAATTCTTCAGCTTACTGAGAGACCATGTGCAAAGCCACATCCCCATGGACTGATTCTTCCAGCCCCAGAGATCTCCAGGGATCGGGGAGGGCAAGAGGGATGAATATCTTCAAGAGAGCCCAAAGGATGAGAGCTAATGCTCTGTCCCAGAGCCCACAGTCTCAGTGGAGCAGCAGGTTCAGGGTTCTCTTGCACTGGAGTCTCTCTGCCCCAGATTAAGCATCTCTACGAGAGAAAGTTCTGCTCTCAAGTCAGGAACAAACTATGGAGAACAACAATAATATTGCATTGCCCATGTGGGTGTAATATCTCAGAACTCTTTCCAGGTTGTATACATGAATCGCTTCACCACTGAAATGCAGCTGGCTCTGTGGTGGAGCGTGGCAGCTGTTTTAACGGGACACAACAACGCAGTATAGGGTGCAAGGCAGGAAGGGAATCGTCTACCCAGTAGAAACTGCCAGGAAACAAGAACGGTCTGTGCTGCTTCAAATTTAGTTCTAGGCCTTTCCTCGCCTTTTCTGCTCTCATGGAGGGGACTAGACCTGCCCTCTGCAGGGTGGGTGAGGAGGTGAAAGACAGGTGTGGGTCAGGAGCACCCAGGAAAGGAGCGGAGGCCTCACATCAAGTGGAGGTTGAGATGAAGGAACAGCAGCCCCAGCGATGCTGGCTGTGGCTGGGATTCAGCTGAGACATCCCAAAGCCTTTAGCTCCCTTCACTGGGCACATCTTGCAGTTCTGAAATGCGCTGGTATTTTACTCTGCACTTCGACTGACCTTTCAGCCTTGGATCCCAGAGATGCTGAAAAAAAGACCAGGCATTTCTGTCCTGAAAATGGTGCCTGCCCATGCCCCTGGGGGCTAGCAAAGTGTCGTTCTCCTCACTGCATAGAGAAGAGAAGGGACTTGCCCAAAATCACACACAGAAACCCTCCGGGTTCCTACTCCTGTCCTTAGCCCCATGAAACTTAAACCCCTGCCTCTCATCAAACAAGATAAACTTTTGCCCTCAGTCTCCTGTGGGTACTAGAGGCCTAGGTGGCGATAGGGTTGCCAACTTTCTAATTCCAGAAAACGGAACACCCTTGCCCCGCCCACTGCCCTGCCCCTTCCCTGAGGCCCTGTCCCGCCCCTTCCAGAGGCCCTGTCTCCTGCTCGCTCCATCCCCCCCTCCCTCTGTCGCTTGCTCTCCCCCACGCTCTCTCACATGCTCACTTTCATTGCAAGCATAGGCACCGATTTTCCCTCTTTCGCCTGGGTGCTCGACCCCATCTCTGCCCCCACTCCACCCCTTCCATGTGGCCCCACCCCCGCCCCGCCTCTTCCCACCCCTTCCCTGTCCCCATTCCAACCCCTTTCCCAAAGTCCCCGCCCCAACTCTGCCCCCTCCCTGCCAATATTCCAACTCCTTCCCCAAATCCCCACCTCATCCCCTGAGCGCACCATGTTCCTGCTCCTCCCCTTCCCTCCCAGAACGTGCTAACGGGGAAACACGTTCCGGGCGGGAAACGCTGGGAGGTAGGCGGAAGAGCGGGGACGCGGCACGCTCAGGGGAGGAGGAGGAGGTGGGGCGGGGGGGAGGGAAGCTTGGCTGCCGGTGGGTGCAGAGCACCCACTAATTTTTCCCCGTGGGTGCTCCAGCCCTGTGACTGCAAGGCTCAAACACGCATATTTATTGTTTTGACAGATGTATTATGCTAAGTTCAGGCAGGGGTGAAAGTAACTTAAAGGACTTACCAGTACGCCGGAGTCCTGAGTGGGGCATGGCCTCAACTGGAAGAAGCGAGGATTTAAAGGGCCCGATGGGGCCACTGCAGGGAACCCCGGGCCCTTTAAATCGCCTCTGGAGCTCCGGCGGCGGGACTCAGATGGCGCTTTAAAGGGTCCAGGGCTCCTCGCAGGGGCTGGAGCTCCGGGACCTTTAAATCCCCACCCAAGCCTGGCTGCTGGAGCTCCAGTGGTGATTTAAAGGGCCCGGGGCTTCCCGCAGCGGCTGGAGCCATGGGCCCTTTAAATCACCACCGGAGAAGCAAGTCCAGTCCATACCGCTGTACCATACCGTACCAGCTTACTTTCACCTCTGAGTTCAGGTTTTATTTGCAGTGATGAGGGATGTGGGTGCGGGGGGGTTGGGACAGGGAGGGATGCAGTGACCGGGATGAGGGTGCAGTGGGGTTGGGACTGGGAGGGATGCAGTGACGGGAGATGGGGGTGCATGGGGGTTGGGACGGGGAAGGATGCAGTGATGGGAGATGGGGGGCAGGGGGGTTGGGACAGGGAGGGTTGGAGTGATGGGAGATGGGGGCGCATGGGGGTTGGGATGGGGAGGGATGCAGTGATGGGAGATGGGGGGCAGGGGGGTTGGGACAGGGAGGGTTGGAGTGAGGGGGGGTGGGGGTGCAGCCCCATTCACAGCTCTCAGAGACG